GGGAGAGGGAGGTCTGGGCCTCCCTTCTGAAGCTGCTGCCCCCGCGACCCGACCCCGGATAGGCGGAAGAAAATGGATGGATGGATGGATGGATGGACAGTTTTACAGATATGCTGAAACTGGGTGTAGTTGTAGCTGAAGTCATTCACAACACACACTCCAAGTGCCACTTACTGTGCAGGATCTTTACTTAAAACTTTAGCATCAACTGCTAGAGTGTCATCACACTCACAACAACACAATCATGCCGACACACTTCTGTCAACACACTAGATGAAATGACTGAGATGGACAAACACATACACTCATACTAACACAATTATGTACAATCATGGGAAAACACGTATTTGCATCATGCCAACACACATCCACATGCATGTCAACAAATAAAAATATCAATTAAAATATCTTACTAAACATTTTTAACATTTTTAACATTTTTAACGAGACATTCTAAACTAATATTTGGCAATACATCTACAACTGATAACTTTTTCAACCTAATTCAATATGGCCACCACAACTACATGTCATCAGACAACACTAAATGAATATAACTGATGCTGAGCTAAAATTAAATGTGTAATACTGAGAATAGTGCACAACACATACTCTAAAGGTGACATTTTGTCATATCATGAGCTTGCACATAACATTATTCACAAGGTTTGAGCAAAACCACTACATCTCCAGCATTTCTCATCAGATGATCTCAGCCTAAAGCTCTGGCATGAAAGGTGGTGGCCTATATACATTCTTTCAAGGAGGGTTTAATCATTTTTTTTATTTAAATTTATATATTTTGATAGTACTTTTTTGTGAAAGATTGAGAGATGTTTTCGGTACCTGAATGTTGATTTGAACAGGTTGCCTCTCTCCACTCTTGGTGTGTGCCACCCCCTCTGTGTCATACAGACCAGTGTAGACCACAGACTGAGGGTCTTTAGACTGCTGCTCCAAAGGAAAGGTCACCCCACCAATACTCATTGAGCTGCAGTCATAAACACAACGATACACTCGTGTCAACACACTGCTTAACACACTCATGCACACACAATAATTGAAACACATTTATTGTAACACCTCAACACACTCATGTCAACACATCCCCACACAACACAATTACAATCATCACAACACAATCAATGAAAACAATGATATTAAAACAGTCATGGCAACATGCATATCACATGGCCATTTACAACACACTCATACAAACACAATAATTGGAACACATTTATTACAATGCCTCAGTATACAGTGGGGAAAATAAGTATTTAGTCAGTCACCAATTGTGCAAGTTCTCCCACTTAAAAAGATGAGAGAGGCCTGTAATTGACATCATAGGTAGACCTCAGCTATGAGAGACAAAATGAGAAGACAGATCTAGAAAATCACAGGTTAATTACTGATCTGTGACTAAAAACACGTGTTCACAACCTCAAACAGTCACACTCCAAACTCCACTATGGTGAAGACGAAAGAGCTGTCGGAGGACACCAGAAACCGAATTGTAGACCTGCACCAGGCTGGGAAGACTGAATCTGCAATAGGCAAGCAGCTTGGTGTGAAGAAATCTACTGTGGGATTGATAATCAGAAAATGGAAGACATACAAGACCACTACTAATCTCCCTCGATCTGGGGCTCCACGCAAGATCTCAGCCCATGGGGTCAAAATGATCACAAGAACGGTGAGGAAAAATCCCAGAACCACAAGGGGGGATCTAGTGAATGACCTGCAGAAAGCTGGGACCAATGTTACAAAGGCTACCATCAGCAACACACGACGACGCCAGGGACTCAGATCTTGCAGTGCCAGACGTGTCCCCCTGCTTAAGCCAGTCCATATCCAGGCACGTCTGAAGTTTGCTAGAGAGCATTTGGATGTTCCAGAAGAGTATTGGGAGAATGTCATATGGTCAGATGAAACCAAAGTAGAACTATTTGGTAAAAACACAACTCGTCGTGTTTGGAGGAAAGTGAATGCGGAGTTGCATCCAAAGAACACCATACCAACTGTGAAGCATGGGGGTGGCAACATCATGCTTTGGGGCTGTTTCTCTGCAAAGGGACCAGGACGACTGGTCCGTGTACATGAAAGAATGAATGGGGCCATGTATTGTGAGATTTTGGGTGCAAACCTCCTTCCATCAGCAAGGGCAATGAAGATGAAACGTGGCTGGGTCTTTCAGCATGACAATGATCCCAAGCACACTGCCAGGGCAACAAAGGAGTGGCTTCGTAAGAAACATTTCAAAGTCCTGGAGTGGCCTAGCCAGTCTCCCGATCTCAACCCCATCGAAAACCTTTGGAGGGAGTTGAAAGTCCGTGTTGCCCRCCGACAGCCCCAAAACATCACTGCTCTAGAGGAGATCAACATGGAGGAATGGGCCAACATACCAGCAACAGTGTGAGCCAACCTTGTGAAGACTTACAGAAAACGTTTGACCTCTGTCATTGTCAACAAAGGATATACAACAAAGTATTGAGATGAACTTTTGTTATTGACCAAATACTTATTTTCCACCATTATTTGCAAAAAAATTCTTTAAAAGTCAGACAAAATCATTTTCTCAAATTTTTCTTCACATTTTGTCTCTCATAGTTGAGGTCTACCTATGATGTCAATTACAGGCCTCTCTCATCTTTTTAAGTGGGAGAACTTGCACAATTGGTGACTGACTAAATACTAATTTTCCCCACTGTAAAATAACCGTCATGTCAACACAATCATGTCAACAGACTGCTTAACACACTTGAAATATATAATATGAACTATAACTGCAATATGAATATGTCTACACACTGATTAACACATAATGCTTTAAGAAACATGTTTTCTGCAGTTTATCAAATCAGTGGGTAAATCGGGGCCACAGCTGTTTTTCTGCCCCACATTCCCTCATGCCTCTCCTGCTTCGTCACGTGTGACCTACATCTGTTCATGTTTTACACGGTGAGGGTCAGATATCACACAACACGGTATTTATTACATAATCACAACTCTATATACACAGGAGCAAATCTGCCGTGCACACGGTGTGTGCGGCGTTCACGCGCTGCACGGAAAATCAAATGCTAAGAGCTGTGAAGCGACACGAAACAATGGAGAAACACTACTACTACTTAATAATCCTCCAACATTTCTGCAACAAATACGTTTAGAAAACACAGTGAGTGTTTACACTGGGTAAGCCATGGAAAACTGAGAAATCCCATACGTTCACAAACAGCCTGTGAGGGTGTGGTGCGTTCAATGACTCGGACTCGTTCTAATTAAATCGTTAAAACCACGTAGACTCGCTGTGTTTTAATGGGAAAAACATGCCAATAGCCCACATGGCGCTGTTAGAGTTTATAAAGACAAAACAAATCTCCAAGTCAAACGCAATTAAGTGATTTTATTATGATCATATCTTAGTGATCTTTTGACTGTTTTCTCCTAAAGACCCCGTCATCATGTTCCTCCCACTCAATAATTAATAATCAACAGATCCAATCTGGTCTACATACGTGGCCTGGACGGCTCCAGGTTTTACCACCACCTCCAGCTTGTATTTGGACCCGGTCAGCAGCTTGATGGTTCGAGTCTGTCCGAACCGAGCTCCGTCCGATTTGAAGAACACCGCCGTGTTGTTGGGAAGCATCTTCAAGGAAATCCCGATTTTAACGAGCTGAGGGACGTCAGCCATGATTTCATCCAGCTGTGGGGGGGCAGCAGGTCCGGATCAGACGGACTGAGACCTGGAGGAGACCAGGAACATTTCTGCCTCCTATCTCTGCTCTGTGTAATCCGGCCCAGCCTTAACACACATGAATAATCCTGAACACACACACCTAATCCCAACCACACACGCACGCACGCGCGCACACACACACACACACACACACACACTCCTCCCCGTAGCTTTAAAACACTTTCATTGTGTTTTGCTGCAGATTGCAGACAAGCCGATGATGTTGCAGCTGATTGCATCCAGTGGATACTTTCATGGAGGTTTATACATTTATCTACACTCTTTGAGCACGTGCTATCAGGATAAAACTGGATGTGGCGGCCATATTGATTGGTGTTGGCTCCAAATGTCAACTGTGAGAGTTTCATTAAAATCTGCCATGGTTGATGAGATATTTTGCTAACAGACCAAGTAGCTACCTTCGACAAAGGAATACTGACAGACTCAGAACTGCCACAGGGACAATCTGAGGAGAAGCAGTCATGAAGACAGGAGGAGCAGGACAGGTGGGTGGAGACACCTGACTGGGGACAGGTGAGAGGAGGCGGGGCAGGAGGGCAAGTGGTGACACTGGTTTACACAGAATTAATCTCAGATAAAACACAAAATAAACCAAATAAATAAATAAATACATTTGCCAAAAATATAACTAAGAAACAAAATCCTGACAAAACTGACTCCTAAAGTTAATTAAATAATTTTGAGTAAAATACAATTGAGTTGACAGAGAAAAAAACAATCATAATCCCAAATATGGCCCACCCGCTTCCTGGATCAAAGGTCTTTAGTACTTCTTATATTACATTTGATATTCACGGAGAATCGCTACAAAAGCAAATTCCAAACTTCTTTGGCTGACAGCTCTGGCTATTGGCAGTTCTAAATAAACAACGTCCAAATATGTCCAAATATATGCTTGGAAAGAAAGTTTGTGTGGATTTTTCCAACTTGTTGCAACTAGTTTTTTTTATATTTTTTTTATTTCTTGCAGCCAAGACCTGCCAGCTATGCTCTTCTCCGGATACGATAAGTCTTCTTGTATCCAGTGTCAAATCTAGCAGATTGTTCAAGATGAGTGTATCAGGTGAGTCAAGAAATGCGATCCCAAACATCTTGGACAAAATAAGTCTAACCACCTTCCATATGAAAAAAAAACAAAACAAAACAAAAAAAAGCCTATTTTTCTAGAACAGAGATTACATATGGGATCAATAACCATCAAATAAAGTTTTCTAGAGGTTAAGTATACCCTATGTATTAACTTGTAATGTGTTTGTTGATCAGGATTTCTAGATGCTAAGCTCACATTAGCCCATACCACATCCCAGACAATGGAGGGTTTTAAATGAGGGCCTGTGATGATTCCAACAAAAGTGCTAGTTGGTCACTACTGAATGGCGATGGACATTGACGGTGTCGAGTTGTCGTTATTTGTACTAATTTTATTCAATGAAGTTTGTTCTATTTTTTGTAATAAATTACCAAAATGACAAAGCTGGTTTCGAGTATTCATTGTTTATGAAAAGGGTTCTCTGAATCTCATCCACTGGTAAATGAGTTTGTTTATAAAAGGGTGAATAAATTTGTGAACACTGATCTGGTGCTCCCTACAGGTAAAACTGTAGAAAGGGTGTAGAAACCACGTCACCCTTCTGTCTGCATCTTTGTTTATTGTACAAGTTGACACTTTGAAGGCCCCATCACACTAGACAACTTATGCACATTTTAAAAGACATCTACATTGAAGACAGAAAAAAGGAAGCTTCTTTTCAGTGTGTACATAATGTTTTTTGAACAAATTGTTTAAATATAACTCATTAGCAATTTAGACAAATTTCATAAGTTGGCATAAAGTTGTCTCGTGTGACAGGGCCTTAATGGAACCAGTTGGAAAAGGAGATTTTCATTTCTCATAAAGTTATTACATTTTGTAACAAATGCAGTACAGATCCTGTGTTCTTATTTCTAATTTTTGGTACAAATAAAAGTGGGTCCCCAGTATAATAAGCTTTGTCCCAAAGTCACACAAGCACATTAATATCAAAACTCTTTGCACTTTTGAACCAATCATAAAGACAGTTGTTGAAAACACACACACTTAAGGGCAAAGAGAGTTCAAAGAATGAATAAATTCCTCATTTTATCTAACAAGGTGATGCAGTCTACTTAGCAAAACAAGAAATGGAAACGCATTTAGAAGCACCATTTTTTTTATTATACAAGTCCAGCTTTATCATAGAGAACCTTTACTTCTAGAAGTCAGCAATGGGACATTTGATGGTTTTTGCAGGACTTCAGTTTCTGGACTGTGGTCTGAAGGCTTCTCAGAGTACTGACTGTTAGAACGGAGGTCTCTTTCCCGATGGGAATTGCTGTTGGACTGGACTACATGAGAGAAAGGGTACTTTTCTTCAATCGCACCCACAGACTCTTCACTACTCCTCCAGGCCTGAGCCAGTGGCATCTGACGAATTCTCATCAAGAGGTTTCCTATCAGCAACAATTCAGGGTCAATTAATGGATGCTGCTGAAGGAAATAACCATAAGGTGGAGTGGTTTTGGTGGTGCCATATCCAAAAGGAGGATATGCTGGTGCAACATAACCATGATGGAGTGATCCACCTGAGCTGTAAGCATAGTTGTAGTGAGGAGAAAAAGCAGTGCTGTAAGGAGAACCATAGGGAGGAGATCCTGTGTAACTGTGATGAGGAAACCCCATAGTGCTGCTTTCATAACTGTAGGGATGAGATCCAGCATGCATGTCTTCATGGTAAAACTGTGACCCATACCAGGGACTGGGTGGTGCAGCACCAAAACCTCCTGCACCAGAAACCAGTTTTGATTGCATTGAGGCATCAGGGATCTTGTCCTCCGTGTTCCTGGAAGGCCCACTGGGAGAAGCCCTTGGAGCAGAAACAGGACTGCTGGTGAAGGTGGACTCAGAAGTAATGTTTGGGTCTTCTGGCTCCAGGGTGGGTAGTGGCTCTGCTGCTCCATTGGTAGCTTCAAGACTGGACTCATTTCCAGGAGGGGAAATGTCTAGATACTCAAGGTCTGAAAACTCAAGAGCTCCAGATGAGCTGAAGGAAGTTGTGTTGTCATCTCTGTAGTCTTAAAAAAAAAAAAACACATACAAATAAAACATTAACCACCAAAGCAGCGAGGGAAGCAGGCGTTCAGTACATTTACAGCCTCAAAAAGCTACATTTAAATAAAGAATAAAAGTTTTACATAATTTAATGCTTGTGATTCATTTGAGGTTTACTGACAAAAATAACGCAACCTAAAAACCAGATTTGCTTTAGATTGTGACTCACCAACAGGAAAACAATTCCCAGTGATGCAAAGTACACAGATCCAAGCAACCCTGTGAAACAGGTGGACATGGTTAGCTCCAGGATTTAGGTCATATCTAATGAAGAATAAGCTCCAATAACTGACCGTAAACAGAGTCCCATGTTTAACTTCGAAGAGCAGTTCAGCTGCAGCACTTCACTGTTGTCTTCTTCTCTTTGCAGCACTTCACTGTCCAAAGGCAGAGGCTGGGTCTTAAACACAACTCTGCTCTGATTGAAAACACCTGCAGCTCAATCAGAGGCTGTAAACCTGCCACAGGAAGAGCTCATGTGGAAAATCATCCATTCAGCTTTTATCAACAGTCATGCTGGACAGCCTTAAAACTCATAAGTTTAAGTTTAAACCAGTAAACCTGGTGAAATGTCATATTTCATAGTTATTTAGTCATTCATTAAAAACTAAAAGAAAAACTTATATATATATTAAAATACACAAATCATAAATGAAATGTAAGGAAGCAGAAAGAAGAAAAAAATCTTATTTTATCTACTTCATTGTATTTACAACAAACTAACCTGTAGCATTCTGTGAAACACACAGATCTGACCATTTTTAGCACTTTCAAGATTATTCCAGTCTTATTCTGCTCCTTCACCCATTCAAACTGGTTTGAAATTTAGATTTTACAAAAGTCTCCATTTCATTAAGGCTGAACAACTCTATTGTTATTGAATGTTTAAATGTGTTTATGTGAGCCCTATAACTGTAAAATATTAAACCAAATCATAGCTTCAATTGAGAAAAAAATGAATTTGATGTGTGACTGTAATGTGTTCCAGTAGTAATTCTCACAAAATTGTTCCACATTTAATCTATTGTGTTGAAGTCTGGGAAAGCACATAAAATACTTGTAAAATACTTCATATATATACTTTGTACAGCAATGCAATAGTTTTTGCTATTTTTTTATCCTTAAATAATTTATGTGAAATTCCATGTCAGCTTTTCGTCAGTGATGACCCCCAAATGAACCCCCACCCATAAAACACAACCTCCACATACAAGAAAGGCCTGAACCAGTATTTAGGTTGGACACCATAACACAACTCTTATTATTATTATTATTATTATTATTATTATTATTATTATTATTTTTATTGTAGTGGTCACCTCGAGGTGGAATAAACAGTTCCACCTGTCTTTGACCTTGGYCTCAGAAGACCTCCTTTAAAGAGACAGAACTCTGTTCCATTTAAAGCCATAACAGGTCTTATTAAACGTTAAAGAGACATTTTCTACCTCCTAATCAAATAATAAACAGAACAATTTTCTTTTTATTCATAATTTTATGAATGTATAAAAAGAAAACACAAAAATAGTGTTATTACAATGTGTTATTGTGCTTTAAAGTAAATCACTGGTTAATTCTAATTAAGTTTAAATATTTTACTTAACTAAACTCAGCGTTAAGTAAAATATTTCAACTTAATTAGAATTAACCAGTGATTTACTTTAAACTAAACTCAGTGTTGGCGGCACGGTGGCTCAGTTGGTAGAGCTGATGCCTCTCAGCAAGAAGGTCGCCGGTTATATTCCCGGCCCAGGGACCCTAGAGTTTGCATGTTCTCTCCGGTCACTCCGGCTTCCTCCCACAGATCAAAAACATGACTGTTAGGTTAATTGATAACTCTAAATTGTCCCCAGGTGTGCGTGAGAGAGTGAATGGTTGTCTGTCTCGTTTGTCTCCATGTGTCCCTGTGATGGACTTGTGACCTGTCCAGGATGTCCCCCGCCCCTCATGCTGTGACTGGTGGATATGGGAACCAGTGATCCCCAGGACCCTGAAAGGAATAAACATGTGCAGAAAAATGGATGGATGGATAAATTCAGCGTTATGGTTAAGCTTTATTATGAAACATTTTATTTTTATTTTTGTCTGAATCATCCTAATGAATGTTTTGAATGTTGTGCCTCGTCTCTGATCTTCGATGGAAAGTTGCCCAGAAGATGCTGAAGAGCAATGTGGGCCTGGAAACATCTGACTAGGTGAGGTTGTGAAAACGTTTAACCTGATTAAAGCTTTTCTCTAATGGAAAAAACAAAGCTTGTCCCATGACACACAGATTACACACAGAATCCTCCTAAAACATTGTAGTATAAAGGATCCAGGTGGTCAAAAGTTTTTGACTCTTCCTTAAAGAGAGGCCTGTTCAGTGAAAACAAACTTGAATTTTTTTCATTACTCATACAAAACATACATACAGTACAGTATAATTAAATTAATTTAAGTTTACAAAAAGATTGGAACATTGAGGATGTGCTGTGACCTTACAAAAGTTGACAGTGTCAGTTACCCTTTTGTTTAATAGATCGGCCAAAATCATAATTGGCAGATCAAACTTTTTAAAGATTGATGATCCTCCAGAAAACTGCAATTGGTGTACCTCTGGACCTCCCTTACCGAACTGCTCCCCCATTAGACTCAACTCTGGAACAAGTGACACATATTGGATGGATGGATAAAAAATAAAGAAATAAACATAAAAGATGTATCATGGCTTTAATTGGCTGATGAGATCAGAATGTAAAATACTCAGTGATTGTGTGTCAATGTAAATTAGAGTTAGAGGGGGCAGCACAGTGGCTCTGTTAGCAAAGCTGTTGCCTCTCAGCAAGGTTTTGGGTGGAGTTTGCATGTTCTCTCTGTGCATGTGTGTGTTTTCTCCAGGTACTCTGGTTTCCTTCCACAGATCCAAAACATTGGTAACTCTAAATTGTCCCTGGAGAGTTAATGGTTGTTTGTCTGTGTATCTGTGACTGTGATAGACTTGCAACCTGTCCAGACTGTACCCCACCACCCACATTGTAACTGCTGGACATGCGCAGTGATCCACATGACCCCAAAGAAGAAACAGAGTTAAATCCATTTTATCTATTTTATACAGACGGGAAAATTGGCTTTTTAAACAGGAGCTATTTAAAAATGAATCATAAACAAAATTATATTTGAGATATTTTCTACCTCTTAAGCAGTTTCTTAATTTTCCCAACAGGTGGAGGTAATGCATCAAAACGTTCATGACCGACCGACTTTAAACCAACGAAGAAGAAACTGCGTCGCTTCCGCTCCGAGCTTTGCTGTGGTTGGCTGCAGGCTGTCGTTTCCGATTTCAATGGTTTCTGCTCCGCACGTCGATACAGTCAAGTTCAAATGTGTCTTGTTTTTTTAGACTTCTTGGACTGAACGAACAGTGAATTAAAACCCAGACTCGGCTTGATGTAAGTATGAATAAATATTGGTCATGTTTGATCGCTCTGTGGGGCTCCGGCGGACTGTTGTTGTTAGCTAACAGACTTTAGCTGTGCCGTCCCCATCCTCACGTTATCTCTCTTTTGTTATGATGTATGTTTTACTGCTTCTTAAGATAAAGTTACATTTTGCCGACAAACATAATCTCTTCCTAAAACTCGGTTTAAACTCAAGCTTTATCCAGTGGCAGAAAGACACCGAGTAAAGGAGAGATGAAGTTAACGCTGCGTATTCATAATGAAAACATAGATATTTTAGTTTAAAATGAACCCATCACTTCCTGATGCAGTTAATGAAGTTTGTTTTATGATAAAGATTAATTTATTACTTAAAATGAAGAAACATCAAGCCCTTCTTTTCCTAGACAATTTAATTTTTATATAAAAGAGTGAACAATAAATGTCTCAGTCCATCTATCAAAAGCTTTCTAATCAATTCCAAACATCATGTATCAGTTTTTCTTAATG